AAACCCTGAACCCTAAACCCTATAGTATAGCCCGAAACCCTGAGACCCCAAAAGAAAGCCGGCGCCGGGGCTGGAAGGCAGATCTCCCGAGCTGAGTTCGGCGCGCCAATCTTCGAGGAGATGATCGGGCCTGCGTCTCAATGGACGAAAGGAGGGACCCTTAAAGGGACCCTTGGGGTTATATAGGGGCTTCATGACACTATTTAAGGGGTATATAAGGGTTATATAGGGTATATGGATCAGGGGTCCTAAGGCCCTAAAGTAATTCCTTTTGGGGGTTACCTTATAGGATTCTATATATGAACCCGTTTAGGGTTTAGGGCCTCAGGGCCTTAGTCTGGGTTCTTAGAACGGTTTAGGGTTTAGGGCCTTCGTCTGGGTTCTTGTTAAGGAGTTTAGGGTTTAGGGTTTAGGGCTTTAGGGGTTTAGGGTTTAGGGTTTAGGGTTGAGGGTTTAGGGTTTTGGGCCTTAGTCTGGCTTCTTGTTAAGGAACTTAAGGTTTAGGGTTTAGGGTTGGGGTCTAGGGTAGTTTAAATTAGCATAATAGGGATCTATAGTAGATAATAAGGTTTCCTTATTATGATAAAGTCGGGGTTCTTGTTAAGGAACCAAGGAGCCCTGACAAGAGCCAGATAGGGATAGGGGTTTAGGGCTTTGGGTTTAGGGGTTTAGGGGTTTTGGGTTTAGGGATTTAGCGGTGTAGGGTCTATAGGGTTGAGGGAACCCTAAGAGAACAGCTACAGGAACTTTTGGTTTATCTTTTGCAGGAACCCTTACTGCAACCAAAACCTTAGAAGAATCTAGCAGCTTTGGCTTTGAGCGTTTCGGACATGAGGTTTGAGGTTTGGAGCTCCAGCTGGGACCACCAGAGTTGTTAGGACATGTTGGGGTTTAGATAAGCTGAAGCTATTTTCAAGGTTTAGGGGGGGGGGGTTAGGGTTTACGGTTTAGGGTTTAGGGTTTACGGATTAGGCTTTAGGGTTTAGGGTTTAAGGGCAGACGCTTGAGGGGCATGCTGCTTTGCCTCAACCAACGTGTTAGGCAAACCCTCCTGTCCGGGCCTTTTGCCCATTCTGCGGTTTGAGTTTACCCTAAGGGTCCATGCACTCATATAGCATAGACATGGGCCTTAAAGTACCTATATAGGGACTACATTAAGGCCAATGTATATACTATATGAGTACATGGAACCTTAGGGTTAGGGTTAAGGAGTCTAGGCTCGGTTCAGGGGTCTTGGGGGCTTCGGGAAGGATTCAATGGACCCATTGTGGTGCCCGAGGCCTTGCCCTGAAAGGGCGATTGCACTATGCAGCTTTGTTGTATCGGTTTTAGTTGCAGTTTTCCACTTTAAGCGTAACCGGGCTGGTTTAAGGTTTGGGGCTTCAGTTTGAATCCAACAAACCGCCGCTGGCCCCGGTACGCTACCCTAAACCCGAACCACGAACCGTGTGAGCAGTAATTACACACGGTTTAGAGTATAGGTTTTGAGGCTTAGGGTTTAGAGTGTTAAAGTCTTTGTAGGGACCCTGGAAATGCCAGCCCTAGTTCTTTCCCTAAGGGTCCAACGGACCTAATAATCATATACTTGTGTTGCGGATAGTAGTTTCGAAGTTTAGTATTCAGAAGAGTATATGATTATTAGGTACTTGGACCCTCAGGGTTTCCAAGCGCCCACTTTGTGGCGTCTCACACATGGAAGTAAGCCCCTAAACCTTAACCCTATCCCTAAATCCTGAACCCTGAACCGTAAACCCTAAACCCCAAAACCCCAAAACCCTAGACCCAAAACCCAAAACCCTAAACCTGACCCGTAAACCCTTAAAACCACATTCAACCAATGCGTCCAGGCGAGAAGGCGACAGAAACTTTGGGCACTGGGAGCCGCGCCAATCGTGCTGCCACATGGCGAGTCATTCCGCACGACAAAGTCCTCTGCTCGGGTTCAGGGTTTAGGGTTTAGGGCTTAGGGTTTAGGGTTTAGGGTTTAGGGTTTAGGGTTTAGGATTTAGGGTTTAAGGTTTAGGGTTTAGGGTTTAGGGTTTCGGTTCAGGGTCTGCTCTGCTCGACTTTGAAAAATTGTGCCGTACTTGGTGCTGGAATCATGGACCCGAAATCGCCTCAAACCCAGATCGAAACCCCGAAGCTGGCACCCCAAGCGAGCCAGTAATGATTTGTCTTTGGTTCCAGCGATATGGCCAAGGTTTGGTTTCGGCGAATCCGGTACTGAAGGCCGCGGCCTTATGGGCGTAAGGCACTGCCACAGGGTCTCAAGTTTAGGGCTTAGGGTTTAGAGTTTAGGGTTTAGGGTCTAGGGGTCGAGGATATAAGGCTTTCAGACCATAGGGCGGGGTATAGGGCTTATTGGTTTAGGGTTCAGGGCTTAAGGTTCGGGGGTGTAGGATCCAAACAGCAACCGCCACAAAAGAGTAGCCGAGACTAGCAACGATGCTGGCTCTGAGCCTTCAACCTCACTATCATCAGGACTATTACTAGTATTACTGTACTACTACTACTACTACTACTACTACTACTACTACTACTGCTACTACTGCGACGACTACGACCACGACCACGACGACGACGACGACTACGACAGCGACTACGACTACGAGTCAACGACTACGTTCCAAATT